GAATGCTGATATAATGAACACTCTGATGTGTGTTTTGTACGGCTGACCTTTACACAAACAGCACAGACGTATCACAACACTAACTATAGGCAGCTACCAACATAAAGGTCACACCACGGGGAGGCATGGTGTACGCGTGCCATCTTGCCGGGCTTTTATCTCAGGGCATGTTACAAAACGAAGCGCTGTATGCTTGTATAATTCCGTTTCGACTATAAGTTTAAAAGTTTAATGGTGACATTTTGATTTGATAACATATGGAAAAAATCTGAGTGTTTCAACTGAGCCAAATTTTATCACCATTAACGAATTTGAAAAGAACATATTAAACGACAGTGACTCTTGAGCACAATGATTTGAGATACATTTTATAACAAGGAAACTATCGTTATCAAATATCGACAAAAGAGCTATTTATCTCAGTCTACGAAGTGTAGGAGGCATTTTTATCCATGGATCAAAGTGATTACAGGTATGGGAAAACTCAAATGCATATGTTCTATTTAAACCCGGAGCTGCATGGCGTATTTCCGCCCTTAGAACCAGGATCATGTTTAGAGAAGAATAAAATCACGCGCTCTCGAACAATCGTGGGCGGATATACTGACAAATAATTGCTTGTTTGTTTTTTGATTTTTTATAATTGGTTGTCATCGGGTTTTGATTTACAGCACGATCAGAGCTAAAATTATGTTCAAAGGCTTGAATGACTACAGCGAGCACGACTTGACCCTGCATGTGATATGTCACCGACGTCATGTCATCGTTTCAGTGAGTGGGGGCAATGCCCGAGGTACAAGGCGTAAAGGTGCAGACAAAGGGTGGGGAGAGAAGTAATAATGCAGGTCATTGTCTCTAGGAATGGGTCTATTGCATATTTACTTTACAGGATAAAGGCAAAGGTACAAGACACGATTTGGCACCTGGTTTTAGTATACAAGTACTGAAAATCACAGGTCACGTATACAGGTATTGTATACAGGTATTGTTATCAATATGTTGAATGGTCAAATTATACAGGTATTGTAATCAATATGTCCATTGGTTAATTTATACAGGTATTGTAATCAATATGTTGAATGGTCAAATTATACAGGCATTGTAATCAATATGTCCATTGGTCAAATTATACAGGTATTGTAATCAATATGTTCACTGGTCAAATTATACAGGTATTGTAATCAATATGTCAATTTGTCAAATTATACAGGTATTGTTATCAATATGTCCATTGATCAAATTATACAGGTATTGTTATCAATATGTCCATTGGTCAAATTATACAGGTTTTGTAATCAATATGTTCATTGGTCAAATCATACAGGTATTGTTATCAATATGTTCATTGATCAAATTATACAGGTATTGTTATCAATATGTCCATTGGTCAAATTATACAGGTTTTGTAATCAATATGTTCATTGGTCAAATTATACAGGTATTGTAATCAATATGTCCATTGGTCAAATTATACAGATATTTAGTACTTAACACATGAGGTCACATGAATATACTAAACAGGTATTTCGCATAATAGGTCGCTTGGACAGTTGGTCAAATGTGCCGCATCATCCATTGGTCCTATTGTACAGTGTATACTATACAGCAGATGGTATTTTGAAATCACAAATGTTCTCTATTTGTCCATTATTGTACTGTGGTTGTGCATGTGTGTTTTTTTATGAATGTAGAGCTAGCTACTAACAGATAAATGCGGAGTTAAAAGTAAGTATTAATAAAGGATGTGTGTCATATTCGGCTGTTTTAAGGCCCCTTTATGAACATAAGCATTATCATTTAACACCCATGATGATACCTTTGGGTCAAATATTGATTGCTATGAATGAAAAATACATTCGTTAGACACCTTTGCGATATTTGAGGTTTCAAAGTGGGAGGGGAAAAACGCTTTTTCTCTTTTGTTTTTTGTTCGTAGAAAAATGCATTTTTTATTTTATGAACAAAAATAGATTGATATTGACATTGAGGAAATATAAATACAAAAGTGGGCCAATAACAAAAAATTAGGTCACAGTGACTCATTTCCAATAAAGTTAACTTTTGCTATATTTACGTTTTTATTACTTGAATATTTCTTATTTACTGGCTGAAAACATAATTGATACTCTAGGAATATTTCATAAGAAGGTGTGCTTAGTGATTGTGTGGAATGTTCCGTTAGTTATAGCTGAATTATCCGGAATAAGAAGACCATTGCGCGTATACATTCAGGAGACAATGTGTCAAGTTGCCATGTCCACTAACACCGAGTCATTTTATTATTATATTTTTATTAGTTTCAATGTTTCAGTGCATTTTACCATTTCAATTTAATTTTATATTTTTCATTTAACTAAGATAATATTTTTCGTTTTATGTACAATGCATCCTTCAAAGGGAACAGCTAGTCAGACTGACCAATCATCCGATTGTATTGCAGCATTCACACAGCAGGGGATGAATTCATTCGACACCTGTTTGCTCTTTTTCTTGGTGGTGACGATCATACCACAAAGCTGTATATTAGTAACAACTACAGAAATTGATTGTACACTTCAGATGACGTATGTCGAGAACTTTTATCATTCCATATAGCTCTTTGTGCACCCTCAACTTGTATTGATTTTCCACTGATACATGTTTTGCCTCATAAGCCTTTGCTTGTTTCAAATGTGTGTTCTGATAGTTCTTTTCTTATCTGCCCTGACTTAGTTCTTTCTGTTGAAGGATATTCTTATATTTTCTAAGCGCCAACACTCTTCCTGTTACAATGTTGTCTTTGGAGAATCACTGGCTAACGTAGGACGAAAACAATGCATAACGCAAATACAATGCTAACAAAGTCCCCGACAAAAGTGATTCGGCTATTGGGAATATCATTACCAAGTGCTATCTATCACTTTATGCGCCACTTCCCACCTTGTTTTTGTTACCAGTCTTGATTCGTGTGTTGCTGCTTCTGCTCATCAGTGAGAAAGTAAGACATTTCCGATTTAATGCCTGTTTCATAGGGGAAGTCTAGGGCATCACGGAAACCTCTGTATACAACGAGGACATCGCTTTTTTCAATATATGTGTATGCCCCATCAGGAACAGCAATAGCCACATCGTCATTGTTTGAACAGTTTTATTTACAGACAATTATATGGTTTTGGATAACATCGCTTCTACAAATGTGCTGATGATCTAGGTGATGTGGAACAAATGTAGACAACAATGCTTTTCTCGCAAAGTGTTTGTTCTTTCCACATAATTTTTTATTGAAAGGAAAATAGAACAGGCTTAACACAGTTTGATAACTACGGTTAGAAGAGTTGCATATAGCTGTTTCACCATCTTGGATTTCTTCATCAAGGATATAAGAAAAACAGCATCTGCTTTAACTTTGAAAAGTATACCTGATCTGATAAATATGTTTGTTTTCATATCCATGGTAAGTTGTTATATTTATATTTTTATTTGTGCGGTTTACTCTACAGATAAAGCACTTTGACCCCGAAAATGATGCCCAATATATTTCAAGTTTAATCCTTCTATGCTTGGACTGTAATATAAAATCGCTCGATTCGGAATCAGAGAAATGTTGACGATGGGGGAGGGGGAGGGGGTTGAAGACAACAAGGGGTCAAGCAGATTTTATTCAAATACAGCTATTTATATAGGTCAGACCTAAAGGCATCTTCGCGAAAGATAAATGTTGATCAATAAGGGGCCGAAAAACGGCCGAATATGGCACCATCCCTTACTGATCTTACATGTCCTTTCAATAGAATGTTCTCACCTGATATATGTAAATATAAATAAAATTTAAATCAATAGTATATGATATCTAATTTTGCTTTCGTAGTTCTAGTTAATTATTTTATTCGGGTAATTAATTGAAGTATTGTAGAAAAATATCAACATGTTTTTAGTTGAATTGTTTTTTGTCAAAAGAGCTGATGTTGATACCACTGCTACTCGACCTCAATGGACAATTTACGTTGCCGTGCATTCACGACAAAATGTAGCGCATGCTACTTTTGTAAGACAACCTCGATACATTCCACCTTTTGTTCAACATAATGTTATCGTTATAAAGAGGTTTGGCAATAATCGAGGTTAAAATGGAGGTTTAAAGTAAAGGAGATGGTAAGTATGGTTATTTGAACTATATCGAGATTTTAGTATAAACGGGTTATTTTTTTTTATTTTTTTTTCTGTTTCACAATCTTAGCTTTAATGGTGCATCAACCTGTGCGTTACGTTCACCCTTCACAATGACAAGACAAAAATTTAATAAACGGATTACAACCAACAAATTTGTTCTGAGTGAAAAATAATATGCGCTAGAGAGGGATTCGAACCATGGACTTCCGTTTGGTGTACCATCCCTGAAATCGATTCAGCTGCCTGGCGAATGGAAGTGTACGAGCCTAACTTTGCTACAGTTATAGCCAAACGGACGCGAAGGGGAGGTAACTGTAAATAGGAAACATGGCAATGCAATGGGACAGGGTAACTTTACTCCCAAACAAATCTATAAGTAACAAGAACTTAAGTGTTCACTAAATGGTAGAGTAATACTCACCGAGGGATGACCCGGATCAGTTTATCAGAAATGCGTTATGGAAATCTATTTAGTTTCATAAAAATAATTTATGGGAAGGTTCAATTTATTCACGATTTGTATGTAGATAGTTTATTGTTTTGTTCCACTATGGTAGGTATCGCGTCAAAATGTCTATTTAAAGGACAGGTGTTATTTATGACTAGACTAGACAGGTATGCTAGCGATTCACAAAATCAATAGTTATATTAATTACATAAGGGCTAAAAACAACATCCAGGAGTCTCTTGTCAACTCTACACTAGCATTGTATTATACATCTATGAATGAAGCTCGTGAGACCCCCCACGAGACCAAAAGGTGGGTCAGTGGGAATGTGAAGGTTAGCATTGTAACAATGTAAACACTTGTCCCCAAACACATTCAATCCCCCGTTGTCATGTGTACCAGGCTCGCAAGCTCCCCTGTATCAAATCAGTGTTAATCGCTCTCTCAAACCTACAATACACAGTAAATTAGGATAACAAACCATCCCGCCCATGCTGTAGTGTTATACTGTGGTCTTAGACCGATGTCCAGGGCTATGTGATTCAGTGTACCTGTTAGTACCCTAGTGGTGAGATGCTGTACTAAACACTCTATGCCGGTATATGTAATCCAACAGAAGCGTAGAATATCTACTACGGTGTCGACACGAAGTAAGTAAGTAGTGTAATGATTACTATGTACGTAGATTGGTATCTCTAGAAATGTATGTATATATATCTAGTATAATGGTGTGGTTTGGTATACGTGAAATGGTACTACAGTGTAGAATATAAGGATGATGTTAGCATTATGTAGACTTAATCGTTTATTAGGATTATGGTTTTGTTATGAAAAATGTCAGCAAACAAGTAGTATGTTTTATGTCCAAAGACTAGAAATTCGTTTAGTATGTACAAATGTACTGTGATCACTTGCTAGAGATATAACCAGTCAAATCTGATGTTCGTTGTGATATAACCTGGCATTTACTGTGATCGTTTACTAGAGATATAGCGTATCAAACCTTATGTTCAAAGTGATATAACGTGGCATTTACTATGATCGTTTACTAGAGATATAGCGTATCAAACCTTATGTTCAAAGTGATATAACGTGGTATGTACTATGATCGTTTACTAGAGATATAGCGTATCAAACCTTATGTTCAAAGTGATATAACGTGGTATGTACTATGATCGTTTACTAGAGATATAGCGTATCAAACCTTATGTTCAAAGTGATATAACGTGGTATGTACTATGATCGTTTACTAGAGATATAGCGTATCAAACCTTATGTTCAAAGTGATATAACGTGGTATGTACTATGATCGTTTACTAGAGATATAGCTTATCAAACCTTATGTTCAAAGTGATATAACGTGGTATGTACTATGATCGTCTACTATAGATATAGCTTGTCAAACCTTAGGTTCAAAGTTATATAACGTGGTATGTACTATGATCGTCTACTATAGATATAGCTTGTCAAACCTTAGGTTCAAAGTTAAATAACGTGGTATGTAATATGATCGTTTATTAGAAATAAAGCGTGTAAAACCTTAGGTTCAAAGTGATATAACGTGGTATGTCATATGATCGTTTATTAGAGATAAAGCGTGTCAAAACTTAGGTCCAAAGTGATATAACGTGGTATGTACTATGATCGTTTACTAGAGATATAGCTTGTCAAACCTTATGTTCAAAGTTATATATCGTAGCATTTACTATGATCGTTTACTAGAGATATAGCGTGTCAAACCTTATGTTCAAAGTAATATAACGTGGCATGTACTATGATAGTCTACCAAAGATATAGCTTGTCAAACCTTATGTTCAAAGTTATATAATGTGGTATGTACTATGATAGTCTACTAAAGATATAGCGTGTCAAACCTTATGTTCAAAGTAATATAACGTGGCATGTACTATGATAGTCTACCAAAGATATAGCTTGTCAAACCTTATGTTCAAAGTTATATAACGTGGTATGTACTATGATAGTCTACTAAAGATATAGCGCATAAAACCTTATGTTCAAAGTGATATAACGTGGTATGTATTATGATAGTCTACTAAAGATATAGCTTGTCAAACCTTATGTTCAAAGTTATATAACTTGGTATGTACTATGCTCGTTTACTAGAGATATAGCTTGTCAAACCTTATGTTCAAAGTTATATAACTTGGTATGTACTATGCTCGTTTACTAGAGATATAGCTTGTCAAACCTTATGTTCAAAGTTATATAACGTGGTATGTACTATGATCGTTTACTAGAGATATAGCTTGTCAAACCTTATGTTCAAAGTTATATAACTTGGTATGTACTATGCTCGTTTACTAGAGATATAGCTTGTCAAACCTTATGTTCAAAGTTATATAATGTGGTATGTACTATGATTGTTTACTAAAGATATAGCGTGTCAAACCTTATGTTCAAAGTAATAAAACGTGGCATGTACTATGATAGTCTACTAAAGATATAGCTTGTCAAACCTTATGTTCAAAGTTATATAATGTGGTATGTACTATGATTGTTTACTAAAGAAATAGCGTGTCAAACCTTATGTTCATAGTGATATAACGTGGTATGTACTATGATCGTTTACTAAAGACATAGCTTGTCAACCCGTATGTTCAAAGTTATATAACGTGGTATGTACTATGATAGTCTACTAAAGATCTAGCGCATAAAACCTTATGTTCAAAGTGATATAACGTGGTATGTACTATGATAGTCTACTAAAGATATAGCTTGTCAAACCTTATGTTCAAAGTTATATAACGTGGTATGTACTATGATAGTCTACTATAAATATAGCGTATCAAACCTTATGTTCAAAGTTATATATCGTGGCATGTACTATTATAGTCTACTAAAGATATAACTTGTCAAACCTTAGGTTCAAAGTTATATAACGTGGTATGTACTATGATCGTTTACTAGAGATATAGCTTGTCAAACCTTATGTTCAAAGTGATATAACGTGGTATGTACTATGATCGTTTACTAAAGACATAGCTTGTCAAACCGTATGTTCAAAGTTATATAACGTGGTATGTATTATGATAGTCTACTAAAGATATAGCTTGTCAAACCTTATGTTCAAAGTTATATAACGTGGTATGTACTATTATCGTTTACTACAGATATAGCGTGTCAAACCTTATGTTCAAAGTGATATTACGTGGTATGTACTATGATCGTTTACTGATCGTCTACTATAGATATAGCTTGTCAAACCTTATGTTCAAAGTAATATAACGTGGTGTGTACTATGATCGTTTACAAGAAATATAGCTTGTCAAACCTTATGTTCAAAGTAATAGAACGTGGTGTGTACTATGATCGTTTACAAGAAATATAGCTTGTCAAACCTTATGTTCAAAGTAATATAACGTGGCATGTACTATGATAGGCTACTAAAGATATAGCTTGGCAAACCTTATGTTCAAAATGTACTATGATCGTTTACTAGAGATAAAGCGTGTCAAAACTTATGTTCAAAGTGATATAACGTGGTATGTACTATTGTAGTCTACTAAAGATATAGCGCATAAGGTTTTATGCGCTATATCTTTAGTAGGCTATAATAGTACATACCACGTTATATCACTGTGAACATAAGGTTTGACACGCTATATCTTTAGTAGACTATCATAGTACATGCCACGATATATAACTTTGAACATAAGGTTTGATACGCTATATTTATAGTAGACTATCATAGTACATACCACGTTATATAACTTTGACCATAAGGTTTGACAAGCTATATCTTTAGTAGACTATCATAATACATACTACATACCACGTTATATCACTATGAACATAAGGTTTGATACGCTATATCTCTAGTAAACGACCATATTAAATCCCACGATATATAACTTTGATCATAAGGTTTTATGCGCTATATCTTTAGTATACTATAATAGTACATACCACGTTATATCACTGTGAACATAAGGTTTGACACGCTATATCTTTAGTAGACTATCATAATCCATACCACGTTATATAACTTTGAACCTAAGGTTTGAAAAGTTATATCTTTAGTAGACTATCATAGTACATGCTACGTTATATTACTTTCAACATAAGGTTTGATACGCTATATCTCTAGTAAACGTCCATATTAAATCCCACGATATATAACTTTGAAAATAAGGTTTTATGCGCTATATCTTTAGTAGGCTATAATAGTACATACCACGTTATATCGCTTTGAACATAAGGTTTGACACGCTATATCTTTAGTAGACTATCATAATCCATACCACGTTATATAACTTTGAACCTAAGGTTTGACAAGCTATATCTTTAGTAGACCATCATAATACATACCACGTTATATACCTTTGAACATACGGTTTGACAAGCTATGATCGTTTACTAGAGATATAGCGTGTCAAACCTTATGTTCAAAGTGATATAACGTGGTATGTACTATTATAGTCTACTAAAGATATAGCGCATAAAACCTTATGTTCAAAGTTATATATCGTGGGATTTAATATGGTCGTTTACTAGAGATATAGCGTATCAAACCTTATGTTGAAAGTAATATAACGTAGCATGTACTATGATAGTCTACTAAAGATATAGCTTGTCAAACCTTATGTTCAAAGTAATATAACGTGGCATGTACTATGAAAAGCTACTAAAGATATAGCTTGTCAAACCTTATGTTCAAAGTTATATAACGTGGTATGTACTATGATAGTCTACTATAAATATAGCGTATCAAACCTTATGCTCAAAGTTATATATCGTGGCATGTACTATGATAGTCTACTAAAGATATAACTTGTCAAACCTTAGATTCAAAGTTATATAACGTGGTATGTACTATGATCGTTTACTAGAGATATAGCTTGTCAAACCTTAAGTTCAAAGTTATATAACGTGGTATGTACTATAATCGTTTACTACAGATATAGGGTGTCAAACCTTATGTTCAAAGTGATATAACGTGGTATGTACTATGATCGTTTACTAAAGATATAGCGTATCAAACCTTATGTTCAAAGTTATATAACGTGGTATGTATTATGATAGTCTACTAAAGATATAGCTTGTCAAACCTTATGTTCAAAGTTATATAACGTGGTATGTACTATAATCGTTTACTACAGATATAGGGTGTCAAACCTTATGTTCAAAGTGATATTACGTGGTATGTACTATGATCGTTTACTAGACATATAGCGTGTCGAACCTTATGTTCATAGTGATATAACGTGGTATGTACTATGATCGTTTACTAAAGATATAGCGTATCAATCCTTATGTTCAAAGTTATATAACGTGGTATGTACTATGATAGGCTACTAAAGATATAGCTTGGCAAACCTTATGTTCAAAGTTATATTACGTGGTATGTACTATGATCGTTTACTAAAGATATAGCGTATCAATCCTTATGTTCAAAGTTATATAACGTGGTATGTATTATGATAGTCTACTAAAGATATAGCTTGTCAAACCTTATGTTCAAAGTGATATAACGTGGTATGTACTATAATCGTTTACTACAGATATAGCGTGTCAAACCTTATGTTCAAAGTAATATTACGTGGTATGTACTATGATCGTTAACTAGAGATATAGCTTGTCAAACCTTATGTTCAAAGTTATATATCGTGGCATTTACTATGATCGTTTACTAGAGATATAGCGTATCAAACCTTATGTTCAAAGTGATATAACGTGGTATGTACTATAATTGTTTACTAGAGATATAGCTTGTCAAACCTTATGTTCAAAGTTATATAACGTGGTATGTACTATGATCGTTTACTAGAGATATAGCGTATCAAACCTTATGTTCAAAGTTATATAACGTGGTATGTACTATGATCGTTTACTAGAGATAAAGCGTATCAAACCTTATGTTCAAAGTGATATAACGTGGTATGTACTATGATAGGCTACTAAAGATATAGCTTGGCAAACCTTATGTTCAAAGTTATATAACGTGGTATGTACTATGATCGTTTACAAGAGATATAGTTTGTCAAACCTTATGTTTGTAGTGATATGACGTGGTATGTACTATGATCGTTTACTAGAGATATAGCTTGTCAAACCTTATGTTCAAAGTAATATAACGTGGTATGTACCATGATCGTTTACTAGAGATATAGCTTGTCCAACCTTATGTTCAAAGTTATATAACGTGGTATGTACTAAGATCGTTTACTAGAGATATAGCGTGTCAAACCTAATGTTCAAAGTGATATAACGTGGTATGTACTATGATCGTTTACTAAAGATATAGCTTGTCAAACCTTATGTTCAAAATGATATAAGGTGGTATGCACTTTGAACGTTTACTAGAGATATAGCGTATCAAACCTTATGTTTGTAGTTATATAACGTGGTATGTACTATGATCGTTTACTATTAATGTTGTATATACAATACATTAGAAAGTTGCTTAACTTTTATATATTTTCTAAAAGTAACCTTATATATAATAGTTACTGTACTCTCTATATACATTATATATAAGTAAGCTACTTTGATGCATATATCATATGTTAGAAAGTCGCTGTACATGCACTTTCTATATACTATATATAGATAAGTAACCCTATATGTAATGTAATTGTTTTGTGGGTTTTTTTCTGTGTCTCGAAAAAGGAGCGGATTGCTTCGAAAACTTGTCTACACTGTAAGACTTACTTCCTTGTCCCATATAAAATTCAAAGTTATTCGTATCCCACAAACATACGTCTGCAAGGATCCAGTGTTATTCGGGAAGCTACTTTTAATATTACTTCTTGGACCCATAATTAACCATATATATATATATGTTAGAAAGTCACGGTACTTTTCGTTTTACTATATATATAAGGTAGCCACTATATATCTATATATGTTAGAAAGTCACGGTACTTTTCGATTTACTATATATATAAGGTAGCCACTATATATCTATATATTTTAGAAAGTCACTGTACTTTTCTTGACTTTGTGCTATATATATAAGGTAGCCACTATATATCTATATATTTTAGAAAGTCACTGTACTTTTCTTGACTTTGTTCTATATATATAAGGTAGCCACTATATATCTATATGTTAGAAAGTCACTGTACTTTTATTGACTTTGTACTATATATATAAGGGAGCCACTATATATCTATATATGTTAGAAAGTCACGGTACTTTTCGTTTCACTATATATATAAGGTAGCCACTATATATCTATATATGTTAGAAAGTCACGGTACTTTTCGTTTTACTATATATATAAGGTAGCCACTATATATCTATATGTTAGAAAGTCACTGTACTTTTCTTGACTTTGTACTATATATATAAGGTAGCCACTATATATCTATATATGTTAGAAAGTCACTGTACGTTTCTTGACTTTGTACTATATATATTAAGGAACCCACTTTGATGAATATACTATATGTTAAACGTTGCTTTACTTCCCAATTATCTATATATAAGTAATCCACTTACATGCAATTTGTACTATGTAAATACATAACTGGAGTATACACAGTAGTATATATTTTTAATTTGCACCAGTCGCATCACTGGCTATGAAAAACAGTACATGAAGTGTGCAGCCTCCCACATCGCTGTGACGTCACGAACTTGTGTCTGCCGGCGATAATATCATCCTCATCCTAACAGCCACATCAGCCAGACTGGGCCCGCTTCAGGTACACATCGGACACAGGTAATCCCAGTTACAGGTAAGTTCCTTATTCAGTAGTTGTATTACCTGTTCTAACTTATCATGCAATCATACCATAACACATCTTTATATTTTCGTCAAGTTTCGTCATTGCTTTTCTGTGGAACTATTCATGCGTGATTCCTTATTTGTTTAGATAAATATGCTCGTCTTTAAATCGGCATCTCATCAAGTATTATATTCAGTATTTCATCATGGGTACCGTATTTCCTAGTACTAACTCTACAGGTATAACAAACAGAGACACGCATATAACACGAAACAGTGATCTTGTTAGATACAGTGTATATAAAAGTTATGTTAGTACATATTGGCGCTATGCTATTCCACTTCTGAACGTAAACCCCTATACGACCGTCGATAAATTTCCTCAACCTGTGCTTTGCGGGGGGTTAGGAGAATACACACATTTGACCTAATATATGCCCGCTGGGACAGTGAAATATTTTTTGCCTGTTAATTTTGTTGGGCATGTTTGTTATAACGAACACATGCTGCTGATAATCCAGTTTCTTCTAAAGCCAGCGTGCGGTATACACGTGCAAGCACGTACAATAAACTCTGCGTCGGTACGACTGGTCAACTTAACAGATCGGTCTGTAGTTGGATGGAAATTACTCGTATTTTACAAGACAAATTTTTGTCGTGATGTTGTATAAAATAAGTCTTCGAAATTTCGCAAATATTGAATCTGACACAATAAAGAAGGAGAAATAGCTGTGCTTTTTTAACGAAATATAAACGAACAAAAAACTTGAAAAATTGACATATGAATAAATATTAGAGACAACATAGCAATCTGCGAGAGTCATAGACAAAATCCCGGCCATCTTATTTATGTTTCGTGATCTAACTCATCAACTAGTTAATAGCATACGCTGTACGATTATATGATAAATACAGTTTAGTTGTAACGAGTACAGATGTACTATTAAACCATTATGAGTGGAAGAGAAGAGAGGGATACTTAACCGTCGATGTAACAGGACATCACACACTACCAACGTTGACAAGCACACTGCATATGCATGTAGATTTCCAGATTTGAAAAGAAACTAAGAAAATTGTAGGGATTGTATTTACGGTAAGCTAGAAAACTGAACACGTTACTTTATTCTCAACAATTTCTTGCATAAAGACAATGTTATATACTTGCCAGCAGTATATATATATATATATAACGATTGGCTGGGGAAATAAAATATATGGGGAAAAAGACAGTGCGAGGGTCTATGTTTTTGCATCTAGCTGTACCTAATAGTCTGTTAATACATTTCTTTAGATATGCCGAAAACCTTTAGAGTCCAGTGAATGTTTGTGTGTGTTTGTTTTGGTGTGTGCAGTCCTTGGAACAGCTAAGGTCATTTAAATCTACCGAAACATTTTTATGGTAGAGATTTTATAAGAAACATTTATATGCTAACATTTGTGTGTCGGGTATAACAGGAAGTTGAAATATTCATATATCGCCACAGAAAGGTTTCGCTTTACCAGTCTTCACATAAATATGAAAGTACGAGACTTTAAACAGTTCTAAACTTAAAGGTGAGCCGATTATCAAGTCATGCTATGTTTACAAGATATAGTCATTTTTTGTTGTAAGTAATTATCTATTGTAAAAGATTAATGTCGCGTATTAGATATCCGTAAAGGTACATATTACTTTTATTATACCTCGCACAACCAAATCACTCAATAGGATAATACATCATACATGTGTAGTTATCTAAAACGTTTCCGGTTAAATATAGTGTCTCAGAGGAATGGAATTATTGACGGAAGTTTGAATTATTAAAGATCACTTTCGTGGGCGGAGTTATAAACATATAAACAAGGCATTTATCAAACAGTGAACCTTTTAGAAGACCAAGTAAGTTTAGAAATATTTATTTGAATATAGAGAAAGGAGTCACCTGTTCTGAACTTCAAATATGAAGTCTAAATAAATGATTTATACATGCAGTTAATGATTTAGTGTAGCGAAGCCTTAAATATTTTTCAATTACAATATATTCGATAAAAATATAAATGGGATAACATACCCCCTGACTAATTAACCTTAGAAAAAGATTCTACTGAAAATAGTAAGTTCAATTCGCTTAAGAGGTTTTATTTCACATTTTGGAGATATATATCTGTTTTGTTTTGGTAATTTTGTCGCTTCCGACATAACAAATAATTGTATTAACGTTCTCACATTTCGTTGCTGTTGTTGTACAGATGAAGTAAATACATGCATTAAAATCGATCACACATTGTGTGCTATCAAACCCTGCATTGAAAAAACCTATACACATTATGACGATGTCCTAATTTATTCTTTAAAGGTAAATTAGGTGAAGCATTAAAAATAGTTTTAAAAATAAATAACAAAATAACAAACTCGTCGATTGAAGAGGTAATACTTTTAACAGATAATCGACACTTAAGCTACAAATGAGACACCAAAGAAAAACGTAAAAAAAGCATGTTCCCACACAGAAATAACACTCCTTTATTGATTATTCATTATGTTCAATCGGTACTATTGTTGACATACAGGATGTAACACCGGACCAAATACATATCAGTTATGGTCGCTAAGATAGTTTTTCTCTGCCAACATCCTGTATAACATTGCTATCACAATACAAGGGTTATGACCATCAACCACATTTAAAGTATGTAAACTTCCTGGTATGAAAAGATTGGATATAAATGAATTTCAATCGATAAGCACTTACACCTATGCAGTGTTTGTTATCTCACCACTCCTGACATCAAATCTTTAACTTACCGATTCAGAAAACTAAATTTTTACATATGAAAAAACGATGGCTATTTCATAGTCCTGTTCGGGGTTTCTGCAGTAAGCAAACGAACTCCGAGTGTAATAGATTACACTGCTCCCCAACACCAGTGCTAAGTGGTTTGAGTTGTAAACACATCACCCACAAAGTAAACTTCAAAGATGATTACAACAAATTAAGATGGTTAGGGAAGCTACCAGCATTTAGGCCTTACATAGACAATACGTACACTATCTGTCTGAGGGAAGCTGCAGATGGAGCTAGATAGTAAGAGATAACGAGAGATTATCATAGATAGTAGCAGATACTTACAGTATTCTAATCCGCATTAAATAGTTAAACATTTAACTCTTTACTACGCATCGTGCCCCGGGGTGGCCGAGATAGCTGTGGTGGTCGCCTGGCCAGCTTCTGCTGTGATTAGAGGCTTGATATGGCCCACCTCTAGATGCCCTTGGTGTCACACGGGAACAGCTTGAAGGATGTAGCCCTAATATGACTTTTCCTGTCATTAGGCAGCCGCCAATGAATAGTTCGGCACCTGAACTGACGCGAAATAAATACAATGCACTTTCTTATATATCTTTATTGAATTCATTCTGACTTGTTGAATAGATGACCGAAATGCTTTACTGCTTTTGAATGACCATATAATGCAGCAAAATTTCACTTTGTTTAGCTTTCTACTTCGACCTAAAAATGCTTAAACTGACTGCTTTCTTACTCTATATTCCCGGTGTTAATGAAGAACATGAACCGCTTACCCTTACTGAAAATCTATTTCGCAGCTCCTGTTTTTGTCTTTCGTTTTGTTTAGGTGTTTCTGAAGTTCCTGTTATTGTCTCTCGTTTTGTTTAGGTGTCTCTGCAGCTCCTGTTTTTGTCTCTCGTTTTGTTTAGGTGTCTCTGCAGCTCTTGTTTTTGTCTCTCGTTTTGTTAAGGTGTCTCTGAAGTTCCTGTTTTTGTCTCTCGTTTTGTTTAAGTGTCTCTGCAGTTCCTGTGTTTGTCTCTCGTTTTGTTTAGGTGTCTCTGCAGCTCTTGTTTTTGTCTCTCGTTTTGTTTAGGTGTTTCTGAAGTTCCTGTTAATGTCTCTCGTTTTGTTTAGGTGTCTCTGCAGCTCTTGTTTTTGTCTCTCGTTTTGTTTAGGTGTTTCTGAAGTTCCTGGTATTGTCTCTCGTTTTGTTTAGGTGTCTCTGAAGTTCCGAGTCTCTGAAGTTCCTGTTTTTGTCTCTCGCTTTGTTTAGGGGTCTCTGAAGTTCCTGTTTTTGTCTCTCGCTTTGTTTAAGTGTCTCTATAGGTCCTGGTTTTGTCTCTCGCTTTGTTTAGGAGTCTCTGAAATTCCTGTTGTTTAGGTGTCTCTATAGTTCCTGTTTTTGTCTCTCGCTTTGTTTATGTGTCTCTATAGTTCCTGTTTTTGTCTCTCGCTTTGTTTAGGGGTCTCTGAAGTTCCTGTTTTTGTCTCTCGCTTTGTTTAAGTGTCTCTCTAGTTCCTGTTTTTGTCTCTCGCTTTGTTTAGGAGTCTCTGAAGTTTCTGTTGTTGTCTCTCGCTTTGTTTAAGTGTCTCTGAAGTTCCTGTTTTTGTCTCTCGCTTTGTTTAGGAGTCTCTGAAGTTTCTGTTGTTGTCTCTCGCTTTGTTTAAGTGTCTCTGAAGTTACTGTTTCTGTCTCTCGCTTTGTTTAGGAGTCTCTGAAGTTTCTGTTGTTGTCTCTCGCTTTGTTTAAGTGTCTCTGAAATTCCTGTTTCTGTCTCTCGCTTTGTTTAGGAGTCTCTGAAGGTCCTGTGTTTGTCTCTCGTTTTGTTTAGGTGTCTCTGAAGTTCATGTTTTTGTCTCTCGTTTTGTTTAAGTGTCTCTGCAGTTCCTGTGTTTGTCTCTCGTTTTGTTTATGTGTCTCTATAGTTCCTGTTTTTGTCTCTTCCTTTGTTTAGGAGTCTATGAAGTTCCTGTGTTTGTCTCTCGCTTTGTTTAAGTGTCTCTATAGTTCCTGTTTTTGTCTCTCGCTTTGTTTAGGGGTCTCTGAAGTTCCTGTTTTTGTCTCTCGCTTTGTTTAGGAGTCTCTGAAATTCCTGTTGTTTAGGTGTCTCTATAGTTCCTGTTTCTGTCTCTCGTTTTGTTACGGTGTCTCTGAAGTTCCTGTTTTTGTCTCTCGTTTTTTAAGTGTCTCTGAAGTTCCTGTGTTTGTCTCTTGTTTTGTTTAGGTGTCTCTATAGTT